GCAGCCAGTCCTAATCTCTGAGATCTCTCTTTTAAATTTGTGTGTGTATATGTGCATGGATATGCCATGATGTATAAGGATGTCAGTCTTTCCATCATGTGGCTCCATCATAGGGATTGAATTTAGGTTTGGTGGTATCGGGCTTTGCTACTCTCCACTCTGCCCCACCCACCGTGAGATAGGCAGGGTTGCAATGTAGTCCAGATTGGCCTCAAACGCCCTGTGTCGCAGAGGATGACCCTGAAATCCCAACTCTCCTGCTTCTAATCCTAAATGCTAGGATTACAGCTGTGCTGCCATGCTTAAATTCATGACTCCTAAAATTTCATCTCTGCATCTTCTGAGCCCCAGATTCATCTAATTACCTTCTCAGCATTTCCATTTGACTGTTTCAAGAGAATCTTAATTCTAGCATTTCTAATTAAACTTCAGACATTACCCCCCACCCCCAAAATCCTTCCCTACAGTTTTTTATCAGTTGCTTCACTATTCAACTGGTGTAGACAAGACACCATGGGCTGTGTGGGAATAAACAGACATCATTTTAGGTTCTAGTCAGAACTCTCTTCCTGGCTTGTAGGTGTCTCCCATCATGGGACATCTGATGTCTCTCTCCTCTTTCTGGAAGGGCTTGATCTTGTCATGGTAGAACTGTTTTATCATTGCCAAACAGCAGGTGTACTTTATTATATTTTGAATTGTATGTGTGCACATATATCTGTATTGGGGGTGTGCACATGGGTGCAGGTTGTATCTCTCTGGAGCTGGAGCTATGGGCAGCTGGGAACCACCTGACATGGGTGCTGGGAATTGAATGCAAGTTCTCTGCTATATCCCTTCCCCCCACACACACCCCAGGACAGGGTTACCCTGTATAAAAGCCCTGGCTGTCCTGGAACTTTGTAGACCAGGCTGGCTTGAACTGCTTCTGCCTCCAGAGTGTTGGGAATAAAAGCATGCACCACTACTGGCTGGCTAGGTTCTCTGCAAGTGTGGTAAACTAGGCTGGGCAGTGGTGGCACATGCCTTTAATCCCAGCACTCGGCAGGCAGACCGACCAGGCAGATCTCTTTGAGTTTGAGGCCAGCCTGGTCTACAGCGTGAGATCTAGGACAGACACCATAACTACACAGAGAAATCCTGTTTTGAAAAACAAAACTAAGTGGTAAATTATTGTTCTAACTATCTCTCCAGCGCCTACAAGTAATTTTACAGTTTGCCTTTTAATTTTACCATGAAAACTTTTGGGCATATGAACTTTTAAATGTTTATGTAGTCAATGAAACAATTATTTTAACCTATGGTTAAATGATGGTTTTGTCATGTTTAAATATCTTTCCATGATACTTTTTTTTTTTTTTTTTCTAATGACAAGGTCTCTCTATGTAGTCCTGGCTATCCTGGAACTCTTATGTAGACTAGACTGGCCTCAAACTCCTGGAGAGTCCCTTATCTCTGCCTCCCAAGTGCTGGATTAAAAGTATGCACCACAATGCCCGCTACATTCATTTACGCTTTGATTTCTACTTTACGCTTAAGGTCTGAGGTAAGAATCTAGCTTTCAAAAGCCACAGAAAGATTGGGGATGTAGCTCTAGAGAGGCTGCCTAGCAGACACAAAGACTGATGGCTGTTAACTGCTAGCATACTCTCAACTGATTTACTAAGTCCCCGTTATAATAATTCTCCGCAGGTACTCACTAATGATATTTTGTGATTCACTACTGTATTGCTCTGCTCTCTAACCTCATGTTTAATACCTGAGGCTAATAACTTCCCTCGGGCTCCCTGACAATTTTCAGGTTTCCTGTTTCCTACATGTTAATTCTTTCAAATTCATTTTAAAAAGCATTTTCTTTTCCAATTTGATTGCATGTTCCTACTGGGAATTTTTATTTCCATTAGAATTACAAATTACCTTGGTGAGAATTATGTAAGACTTTAAGAACTAAAACTCACTCATGTGCTGTTTAATTAATGTCTGAGTATGCATTTTGTTTTTTTTTCATGCTTGTTTAATTTTGAGTCAAGGATTTATATAGCCCATGTTCTCCTCCATGTTATGTATCTAAGGATGGATGACCAGCCTAGCACTAAGATTATAAGTGCAGACTACAATGAACTAGTTAGCCAATGCTTGGTGCAGAGTGGGCTGCAACCTACTGTGTATTTTTATACTGTTAGCTGTGTCTCACAAATTTAATGCTGTATTTCCATTATATTCAGTTTAGATTATTTTGAGTTTTTTGATAGCTTAGAAATGGAGTTTTTTTTCTTTTTTGCTATTGTCTTTATAACCTGATGCCATTTTAGTTAGAAAACAATGATTTCAGCTGTTTTAAACTTATTGAAATTTACTTTATTATGGCCAAGGATATGGGGTTAATCCCAGTTAGCATTTGATGAACACTTGAAAGAGGATGGGCTTTCTGTTGATTTAATAGTGTCTTCAAGTTGCGATTCCTCTAGTCATTCTATTAAGAAAGGGATAGTGGACTCAGCAGTTAGGGGCTCCTGTTGGTCTTCCAGAGGACCAGAGTTCAGTCCTTACCATCCACATCAGGCCTCTCAGAACTGCCTCTTATTCCAGCTCCAAGGGATCTGATACCCCCTCTGGCCTTAATGGGCATCTCATGCACATGCACGCATGTAAGTGGAAAATAAATTTTAGAATGAGAAATGGGTCCATGAAAGTCTCCAGTCATGTGTTATTCCTCCGCTCAGCAGGGTGTTTGAGCTCCTCCATCTTGTCTACTAACCTATGACTTGTCTTGACAGACAGACCCTCTTTCACATAAAGCTCTTTGTCTTTGCTCTAGGTTCTGCTTCTTAGTGTTTCTCCTCCCTGATGAGGGTTGAACTCTGGTCTGTGTTCATACTAGGTAAATGCTCTCCCACTGAGCTACCCCAGTCCTGCTTTTTAGTTTTTAGGGTTTTTTTTTGTGCTGATTATACCTAGGGCCTCCCACAAGCTAGACAAGCTATGTCCTTAGTTTTTGTAACTCTTTTAGAAGTGGAGATCTCTTTCCTTTTGGCTTAGTCAGTGTGGACTGAACTCAAACTATGCATTTTAACTTTTTTCCATCTTTTATTCATTCATTCATTCATTTTTTGAGACAGGGTTTCTCTGTGTAGTTTTGGTGCCTGTCTTGGATCTCACGCTGTACATCAGGCTGGCCTCAAACTCACAGAGATCCACCTGGCTCTGCCTCCCAAGTGCTGGGATTAAAGGCGTGCACCACCACCTCCTGGCTCTTAAATTTTTTTTTTTTTTTTTTTATGATGCTGACTGTTCTCAGGGCTCATACATGCTAAGCATGGGCTCTAACACTGAGCTACATCCCCAGGTCCCCAGATGACTTCTATAATACTCCATAGACTTCTTGCTTACAAATAACAGAAAATTACTTAGGCTAGCTAAGGTTGTGTAAGAATGTGCAGTGACAGCTATACACTGGATTGCTACGAAGAAGAGCCCTGCATCTCTCTAGGGAAGCAAAGACTAGACAGTTGCTAGATTAGTTATGTAATTTAAACTCAACTCTTTAGGGTCTTATCCAACTCAGTACTCTGAAATAGGTGCAAAAAATAAAGGTAAGGATAATTAGAATCCATTCTGGCAGTGGTGAGAATTCTGATATGCAGTGACCAAAGTGGTAAATTCCAGACATGTACTATTATTGATCTCATCACGCACTGTGCAGGCTACCTAGTCTCTTGGTTTCTGTTCCTTTTTTGTTTCCCCAGCCTCCTGCTTCAGAAAATCTTACTTTGGTGATGAAAATCAAAGAACTGAGAGCTAGGTAACTAGCATTTGGAGGCAGAGAAGAACTAAGTTCAAGGCCAGCCAGTGCTACATGAGACTCCCGCCACTCCCAAGCCCTAGGAGGCACCACCCCAAACCCAGAACCTTCTCAAATCAGAGTATCAGCTATCATTTGCTAGGTCAACTCCAAGTAATTAGAGATGTTAATCTGTTGACGTATGTGGAGTTACTTGCCAGTTTGGAAGGCAGTTGACTTTATATAGTGGAGCTGGGTTTCTGAGTTTGGTGTCTTAAGGTACATACATGGTGGCGGTATTATCACTAGGCTCCGGTTCCCAGAGGCTATAGTTGTGATGAGTCAGGGAAAGCTTATCTGTAAAACAACTGGTTGGACTAGACTAGGTATTTCCAGATCTCCTAAATTGTAGCGAGTCTGATTCTAACAACCTTCTTGTTCCTTTTTCACTGTACAGGCAACTATCCTGTTAAAATTAGCTGATAACTACCAAGTCCCTGATTCTCTGCCAACTTTGGGCACTGTCCTGGAGAAACAGGTGCATGGAATCTTTAGTTTTTCAGCAGCAAAGTGAAAAGATCCAGCCAACAGATGTATGTAGACTGACAGAAAGCCTTTCTTATATGGAAAAAGACACCAAAGTTTTGACAGTCAGCTGGATGTGGTGGCGTGTGCCTTTAATCCTGGCATTTGAGAGACAGAGACAAGCAGATCTGTGTTTGAGGCCAGCCTAGTCTACAGAGTGAGTTCCAGGACAGCCAGGGCTACAGAGAAACCCTGTCTCAAACAACAAAAGAAAGTTCTGACAGTCATACAAAACAGAATAGAGATAAGATGAATTAGCAATCTTTTCAGACTCTGGAGATTATCTCTCTTGTAAAAAGAAAGGTTCTGCTGTTTTGTCCCGACAGAAGTGGAGGTTAGGAGTTAAGTAGGCTGAATTAGTGTAAGAGCGGCTGGGAGAACAGCAAGTTCTCCTGTTTGGCCAGATGTAGGTAGGTGCAATGAGATCGAAGCTGTCCAGTGTGCATTAATGCCAGCCACTCAAGATGCCTCTACCAGCCTGGTCTAATCAAACCAATGTTCCAAAAGCACAATGTACAGAGCAGGCTAAAAATGACCATTTATGTATGTATTGGGTAATGCAAATCCTTTGATCTAAAGTACTAGTGAAGTGACTGGGGCATGGTGAATTAGGTGATTCTGTTTTGACCCACAGGTCCTAATGAGTGCCTCCTTCCTGGGAGCCCTATGTCTTTTCTCATCCGTCTGTGTTGTGTGCGCCATTTCTGCATTTACTCTCCCCATTGAGACCAAAGGACGTGCCTTGCAGGTAAGTGACTCAGGAAGCTCTTGATTTTCTTACAATTAACCACTTAAAAACTATTTTTAAGTATGTGTATGCATATGTGTAGATATGTATGTGAATGAGTGCAGATCCCCTGGAGTTACAGGAGTCTGGGAGATGTCCAAATCGGTGCTAGCTGAGAACTAACTCAGAATAGTGACGGATCTGCTGAGCCACCTCTTAGCCCCTCGGCCACCACTTTTTGACCCAAGAGAAGTTTGGGATATAGGTAGCCTTTACTTAGGCAATGAAATCTTATTAGAGGGTCCTGATTGAAATTCTGGGTTTCCAGTCTCTCACATACAGTTTTGAGCAGCAATCAAGGTGAAGTTAACTATGAATTCACTTCATATATTTCCGTGTAAAAAAAGCTAGTTTAAAAAATGGGGCTGGGTTCAAACATCACTGCAGGGCCTTTAGGATCACAAGGCTTGGATGCAACAGACAAGCTTCTTTCCCCAACACCCACAGTGAGTGGTTCAAGCTTCAGCACAGCTTCCCTGGTCTAGCTGTGGAGGGCGCAGCTTTGGATACCTACAGCCTGTGATCTCCATCTGCCACAAGTAAACTGACCTCCAGTTCCACTGCATCTGGAAAGCTCCAGAGCAGCATTAAGCCCATCTATCTAAATGAAGGCTGCCTGAGCAAACACCTTACCAGACCACCATGGTACTCACTAGGGAAGGAACCCATTCATAGGGCCTGATGGCTCTAATGGCCAACACCACCTCAAACTAATGAGTTCTGCTGCAAAGGACTGTTTTTTTTTTCCCTTTCAATTTTCCTTTCTCATCTTCCATGATTGGTCTACTTAACATTAAAGATTATGAAGGCAGGCAGTATTTTGGCCTATGAAATGAAATGGCCCTGAGCTCTGTGTTTAGGCTCCTTATTTTTTTGGAGGCTGTGGATGAAGTTAGGGCACAGGCTCCTTAACATACCTCTCTGCTCAAGTTCCTGAGAACTTGGAACTGTGGCTGTGGAGTATTATTTTCAGATGTGTTACATTGTTTATGCTGCGGAACATTTGTTTAATGATGAAAAGGTGTGTTGCATTCTTTTATGTTGCATTTGTTTAACTTTGTGAAGCTGTGTTACTGTGCCTGTCTAAAACACCTGATGGTCTAATAAAGAGCTGAACGGCCAATAACGAGGCAGGACAAAGGATAGGTGGGGCTGGCAACAGAATGAACAGAAGGAGAAATCTGGGAGGAAAGAAAGAAAGAGCAAGAGAACAAGGGGCCAGCCACCTAGCCACCCACAGAGTAAGAGTGAAAGTAAGATATACAAAAGTAAGAGAATGGTAAAAGCCCTTTGGCAGAAAAGGTAGGGGGGGGTGGAATAATTGCAAGTTAAGAAAAGGTGCTAGCAACAAGCCAAGGGCATTTATAGTTAAGAATAAGCCCGTGTGTGATTTATTTGGGAGCTGGGTGGTAGGCCCCCCAAAAGAGCAAAACCAACTACAGTAGCTTCCAGTGTGGAGCACAGACACCAATCAAGATCTGGTTATCACCGAGAAAGGAGTCAGGGGGCTTTTCTACCTTACAGCAAAATGTTAATAGAAATCATCTGCAGTTGCCCCATCACTGAATGCGTAAGTCAGACAAGATAACGCTTGTGTTTCCTTTTAGTATTACAAAGGATCACCACACTCTTTTTACTAGGGTACGAGTTGGGCAAATTTTTACACCAATGTAAAAAACACCGAGCTTTATGCTAATTTTTCATTCCCTACATTTGTGGTGACTTTCTTGCCTCAGCCTCCCAAGTGCTGGGGTTATTAGGTATGAGCTACCACAGTGGCTCACAATTTAAAAAGGAGTTTTACAAATAAGACTGAAGAAATCTAACAGATCATTTGATGTTCCCTGTGGATGTCCACCTCACTACAAAGCCAGTCCTTTTCCTGTTGCTGGGGCATGACTGAAGAACTCAGCATTGGGACACGGTAGAATGTTAACATGGTGCAATACATGCATATGAACACACCCTGGCCACTGAGTGCTGTCTTCAGGATAATTAAATACATACACATACATACATACCCACCTCACTGCTGTGATCATATGCACATTTTTTCAAAAACAAGAAAACAGCAAAGCAGTCATTTGTCTGGATAAACCAACTTGCTCACTAGCTTAAAGATAGTGTTGAGTCAATAAACTTAAAAAATTCAATCATTAAAGAATATGTTTGTAGTACCAGACATGGTGATGCATGCCTTTAATCCCATCACTCAGGACGCTGAGGCAGGTGATGTGAGTTCAAAGCCAGCCAAGATGATATTGAGAGATCCTGCCTCAATAACAAACAAAAACCAAGAAAACAAACAGAATGTTTATGGTGTGAATTTCTTTAGATCATGTCTGTATAATACCAACTTTACATTATAAAGGCAGCACTGTCATTACATAAACAAGGGTAAATGATGGATCCTAATTCCATGTAAACTGTATTAAGAACAAAGACTTACAAACTAATTTCTTTTTCTTTTTTCTCCCATAGCAAATTAAATGAGGACCTACAATACTATGGCTACCAAAGGACAAATATTTGATCTTCACTGTTACTGAGTTTTTTAGCAGTTTTATTTCTGCATATGGCAATTATTTTAAGACAACCAAGGCACACACAAAACTGTAGTGGAGGGGGTCTCTTAGGAATCAATATATGCAAGCCTCTTATAGGATATATTTTTGCCAGGTGGTAGTGCATGCCTCAAGTCTCAGCATATGGGAGGTCGAGGGGGCAAGGGTCAGGAGCTCAAGGTCATCCTTAGCTATAAATGCAAGCCTGAGGCCAGCCTGGTTATCTAAAATGAAACAAAAACCTCAAAAACAACCTACCACCAAACCACTTAACTCCCACTACCCAAACAAACCAATAAACCCTGAAATTGAATGGTAATAAAAGGTGGAGGGTGGAGAATATAGCTTTTCTTACTTGGCATCAACAACTACTTAACCCTAGACAAAACACTTGGTATTGCTCCATATGGTCTATGGTTGAAGGACAAAGACTCTGTACTTAAGGCAAGAAACTAGACTGGTATCACTGAACTTAAATTTTGGCCTTAGTAGTTCTTTTTTAAGATACTACTTTATTCTGTATGTAACTACCAAGAAGCTGGGAATAAAGTTAACTTTTTCCATACATCATTACTCTTTTTTAATCTTAGGGACTCACTGATTCTCATGATGCATGTGCAGTTTTCCTGTAACACATAACGACTTACATACTGTTGGTGGGCGTTGTGTACACCAAGTTCTAGTGGGAAAGGCATGCTTCATTAAGAAAACATCTTATTGCGGAAGCCCACTATAGTTTCAGATCACCAGGCTGGCTGAGGATCCCCCCTCATTAACAGTGGAGGAGATCGCAGCTGCAACCACAATGAAATGCTGCTATGTTAGCACACTGCATCCAAGAGGTGTAACCTCTGCTTAGGGAGCAAACAACCCCTTCTCAAACTGTCTATGGATGGCTTAAAATCAGTTTTTTATAAACTTAGCAGTTTAGAGGATTGGTCCCAGGACTCCTGGTAGAGAACAAACAGTATATCCTATATAGAACATTACAGCAAGTGTATTCCCTTCCTTATACTTCTGTCAACTCCAGATTGTATCTATTATAGCAACGACATGTATGAAATAATGACAAGGATGTCTGTGTATATTTAGGATGAACATTTTTCTTTTTGGTTTCTTGAGACAGCTGGAACTTGCTCGAACTCACAGAAATCCGTTTGCCTCTGCCTCCTAAGTGCTGGGATTAAAGGCGTGCACCACCACCGCCCAGCAAACACCAAACACACTTTTTCCCCCTAAATATTTATCTGACTGGTTGAATCCTGGATTTGAAAATTGTGGATAAGCCAAGCATGGTGATGCACACCTTTAATCCCACCACTTGGCAGGCAAAGGCAGGCGGATCTGTGTTCAAAGCCAGCCTAGTCTACATGGAGAATTCCAGGACAGCCAGGACTACATGCTACATAGAGAGACTCCATCTCAAAAAGCAAAGCAAACAACAAAAAACACATGAATTTGAAAGAACAACTGTATTCTAGGCTTATCAAGTTATATACACGAGCCTACAACATTTCTAACTTCAAGCTATATGAAAAGCTCATGTGATGATTAATCTGGCTAACAGGCAAACAATCACCTTAAAGCCTAGTTGTTATTTCACGCCCAAACTATTAGATGGAAAACAATGCTGGCTACATTTGCAGGAGTAAGACAAGCAATCTACTGAACATCACAAGCTGGAGTTTGAACACCCGTAGTTAAGCAAAGGCTAGCAGTGGTGGCAAGCCAAGGACAAGGCTAACGGCCCAGCACTCTCAAGATTTCAGAATTCTCAACATCTGGGGGATACTCAGGCTTATGGAACTTCACAGTGCTACCTAACACTGTCTAGCACTCAGGCTTTTGAGACAACAGCAAATCAAGCCTATAGCAAGCTATTACCACAATTTTAATGGAATCCTTGATAACAGCTTTTCTACAACACAAATTGCAAGCTGTTTGTGGAGACGCTTGTTTAGCACACTCAGTCATTAGTAGAAACAAATTCCAAGTCACTTCCTGATATGAACTTATTGGACTTGTTTCATAGATACCTAAAGACTAAGTACTAAAGAATAAAAATTATAGTAGAAACAGTATGTCAGGATCTAATAGTTTTGCACATAGAATCTAAGACTCTTTAGACTAATCTGTAACAGGCAATTACTTTCTGTAATATGCTGAATTCTATTTTGGAATTTAATATACACATGATGAGTGTACTGTTAAAGAGACTGGATTAGGTAACTGTCACTATTGATAAAAGATCACATTTTCTGGCTCACTTGTTTTGGGATTAAGGCATAAGAACATAGGCAAAGAATTTGTTCCCACACTTCCTGCAAAATGGTGGGGGATGATAAAACGTTAGAGAATGTGCAAAGACAGGATTTTGTTAATGTTGTAAACTACCAAGGAAGGCATTTCTAGGATTCAAATTACATCTATTTATTCTGTTTTAAATCCAATTGATCATTTCCACCAAAGAAAGATCTATTAAAAGCTCAGAAGTAGGGCTGGAGAGATGGTTCAGTGGTTAAGTACACCGACTGCTTTTCTAGAGGAATCAGGTTCAATTCCCAGCACATACATGGTAGTTCACAATGTCCGTACCTCATGCTTATGGAACAGAGATAGATAGATGCAAGCAAGACACCAGTATACACAAAATACAGAAATATTTAAAAAGTCCAGTGGTGACTTTAAAATGTTATCGCTTCTGAGTATCATACTTTCCACAATTTTAAGATAAAATGAATATGTTTTTTTTTTGGTTTTTCCGAGACAGGGTTCTCTGTGTAGCTTTGTGCCTTTCCTGAATCTTGCTCAGTAGACCAGGCTGGCCTTGAACTCACAGAGATCCGCCTGGCTCTGCCTCCCAAGTGCCGGGATCAAAGGCTTGTGTCACCACTTCCGGGCTGGGGTGGCCTTCTTAAACTGTCCTTAGTAGACCCTTTAAAGAGACTGGGTTAGGTAACCAGTTAAAAATCTACTTCCAAGGAGGAAAATACTACAGTGTTTCTTTTTTCCTATTTGTCACTTTTTTCTTGGTTTATCTTGTGAAGGTCAAGGAAATATGTCTTAGAATTGAAGAGTTCTTCTATTATTTATGGCCATACCACATCCCTACAGGGAACAGTGCAGCAGTTACAAGAATAGATGAGGGCTAAGATTACAGGCTCACACTAGGTCAAATACTACAAAAAGGCATTTCTTCATCAAGTCTTCCATTACCAAAGTCCCTGCTGCGGTAAAACAGTTACAGTAAAAAAATCTACCAGTTAATTTTTAGAAAATCCAAAGCACTAATCCCTGAAGAAACAAAAAACAAAGTCTCCAATTCCTGTTGCCTCAGATGTTCTTCCCATCTTGTGAAACCTCCATCGAGAAGCCTGTGACCCGACTATCGCAGGAACATAAGTCACCTGTATGGGAATTATGACAGAGTTCCCACCCAAGGCAAAATAAATGCAGCATTATCAATTATTAGTTTACATGGAACTATAAAATACTTAACTATGGCACGAATATTTGGTTGAAAAAAAATACAGTAATTGAATTCAGGGTCACATCCACAATTTTAATGACCAACCAATCACTCTATTTCCCTCATTCATATGGACTTTAGATAAACAGGAAATGAATACAACTTTCTTTTTACGACACTTTCAATTGCAACTCAAAATCTTTTGGTTCTCAGGAAGCAACTCAAATTAGTTTGGATCAGGCCTCAGCAAAAGGAGAGCCTTCTATACATGTTCAACAATATAAAAAACGTACACACTGGTAACAGCAGTGAACTGCAAACGTACCTTCTAAATGAGGAATTGGCAGTGTATTCACCATCCTGGCGGGAGAGGCCTTTCTGACAGTGCTCTCAAGTTACACGTCTGCACCTCCGCTGTGTGGCAGCCAAAGCTTAGAAAGGCAAAGCTACTGTGGTGGGAGTTACTGTCCTCTTCTCATTCCTCTATGGAGAAGCAGCAGGCCTGTGACTGCGGGGGACCACACTGCCAGCCGCTCAGGTGAAGGTGCCATTTGCCTTTATTACTGCTCAGTCCATTTATGCTTCTGCCTTGACCATGCAAGTCGCTGTCTGTGGGAGGTTCCCAACTGCCAGAGAGACCAGGTGCTTGGCACACGGGAAAGCTCTGAGTTGGAGTTAAGTAAATCCCACCCCCAGTGTGGTCTCCATATCTATAAACCTCTGCCAAAGGTAATGGTCACATTCAACAAGAACAGTGTGTCTGTGGCAGGAGAACTTTGATCCAGGGCTCTCAGAGGTAAACACTGGAATAAGTTTAGATCAAGGCTGCTTAATCATAATGAACATTTTATTTTCTTACCAATGTGGGGTCGAGTTCGACTGTTTTTCTGTTAGAGTTTATGACCATTTAGCTTGGATCCACCTGGACACATTGTTACTTTCAATGATCAGGTCATGAGACTTAGAGATCATGACAATAGTGTTACTTATAGAAAAAAACTCAAGACATTTACTTTTAATAATATATTATGTATCATTACATGAAACATGGTTCTGAACTGTCTTTGATTCAGCAAAAACTTGTAATGATGAAATGTAACATTATTTTGAAAGGTTACTATGGCATAGACTCTAATAGTGACTGTTTGGGGTGTATTAGTAGACATTCTGGCTGAAATACATAAAAATTATGTTTACCTTATTGAAGCCCTGCCTCCCCCTTAGTGGTAATTCTCAAAATAATTTACGTAAGTACTGCTTTAACTCAAGTGACAAGTATGGAAGACAGTCTACCAGAGAACAGTATTCTAAGATAGCAAAAAGAAACGTATTGCCCAAAGTTCCACAGCTGGGGCTGGAGAGATGGCTCAGTGGTTAAGAGCATTTATTGCTCTTGCAGAGGACCCAGGTTTGGTTCCCAGCACCCATATGGTGGCTGACCATCCTCTGTAATGCCAGTTCCAGGGTATCCAACACCCTCTTCTAGCCTAGTGGGTGGGCACCAGGCGCATACACGGCGCATAGACATATATGGAGGCAAACGAGCATACATGTGAAATAAAATAAATAAATCTTTAAAATATTTAAAAAAAAAAGAAGGTTCCGCAGCTGTTACACTCTAAATGCTGGACTTAACCACACAAGTTTTAAGGTATGTATATCATCCACTTCCCCCAATAACAAAACAAAAACCCCAAAGCCGAGGGCATGGTGGCACACTACTTTAATCCCTGCACCAGGGAGGTTAGAGGTAGAAGGACCAGAGTTCAAGGCCAGACTGAACTGAACCCCACTTCCAAGGGTCTATATATTGTCAGTTTGTTCAGACTGTGTTTGAACAACAAATGTCAGCTGCACATTCAAATCACCACAACAAATATCACCATATAACACATTATTTAGAAAACTGATTAAGACTGTTACAATACATAACTGGATTATAGATTGTTTACTTAGAGAATGGGAAACTATTGCTAATAAGGTATGCACACAACATTCTCCAGCTAACAATCTCAGAAATGTGACATGGATAGGAATCATCGTCTTTCCCCCCACCCAAACAGGGTCTCATATAGCATAAGTCTGGCCTCAACCTGGCTATGTAAGATGACCTTGAACTTTTGATTCTCCTGCCTCCATCTTCCAAGTGCTGGTACTTCCAGCTACATTTTAATTCATGGGAGGCAACGCAACCAAACACATCCTCATGCCAGCTGTGTTTTCTTCCATCAACCCAAAGAAAAAATTGTTTCTAGTCAAACAATTAAAAAGCTTTAACACTCAAAGTTTGCTATGGCAAACTAAAGATGCCCTTGTATTTGTCAAGTATTGGGCTAGTACAATGGTACAATGATTTTATTCTATCTTAATTTCATTGGTGCTTTGTTCATCTCAGCCCCTCTCCCCCCTAAAAAAACAAAACAACAAAAACCAAACAAGCAAAAGGAATAAATCTTTTTTCTCTCTCCCCAAAAGAAAATTAAATTCTAAACTAAGGCAGAGCAATGATAAAATATAGAGTTCTGTTAAAAACAAAAAAACAAGTGAGCAGAGGGCCAGCAAACAGATGCTTCAGAAAAAATATTTTTTCCCACTTACACCACCCCCCACAATTGATTTCTTCCAAACCCCACAACATACTTTCCACTTGAAATGATAAAGACAGATGAAAGCCCTTTCAGGGAACTTAAACTGGGTGGCCACCAGGGCACAAGTTGAAGAAATCTTCTATCAAATATTGTATGTGTACCCTATTGTATTTTATATTTGACGGTACTACTAAAAGCCATACCGTGAGCTGGGCAGAGTGGCACACACCTTTAATCCCAGCACTCAGGAGGTAGAGGCAGGTGGATCTCTGAGTTCAAGGCCAGCTTGGTCTACACAGTGAGTTCCAGGACAGCCAGGGCTACATAGTGAGACCCTGTCTCGATAAAACAAACGAACAAACAAAACCCCAAAACTAACAAACAAGAGAAGAGCCACACTGAACACAATGAGGCTTGCTCTACGAGCATCACCTGCACAGTAGGGGAAAATCAACAGCAACAGCTAACATGCACACTTACTTCCTTAAAGGAAGCTGAAGAAAAGGTAGATCTAGGAATCCATGAAAGAATGGCCTTGAAGACCTGCTATGCCCAGCATCTCCAACAGACAAGAGAAGAACAAAACCAATAAGCAAACATTTGTTTTTCCTGATTTCCTTTAATGCATTTGCCATCTTACATAGACACTACTAGGTGTCTTAAGAGCATCTGTCTACACCTTTCCAGCAGGCACTCGGGAAAGGACTCTTCTTCCCACTCGTGTTTGGGGAGGGCTGCTTTTAAGCACAGTAAACCTAACTCTTATTGTTGACCATAATTAGTGAGTAGTAGCATTAATATTCTAAAAGGGATTACCACACACACTCATATCACACTAATTCTCAACTTACTTCAAAATCTATTTTCTTTCTATTGTAGCTTTTATTCCCGACTGTTGCATGAAATCCAAGTAGTGGGAAGAATGTCTTTTCTTTCTTTGCAGTTTCTTCTTTTTCTATCTTTCTTCCTCCTTTTATTCTTCTACACATTTCCTCTTTTTTAAATTACCAATGACAAGAGGTTAAAGAAATGGGTTATTAAAAACCAAAGTCTAGTAAACAGCAAACACAGATCAAAGAGGTCACAAACCCTCCTTTGTAGCGGTGTTAAATCACTGAGAAGGTTTTGTTTTTATTTTGGAAAGGAAATTTTCTTAGAGAGTGTATGGCCGGAAGCTGCTCACTTAAGCAGCTGGCGGTCCTCCAGGCTCTTGAGACGCTTCTTCCGGGGCTGCACAAAGTCATCATCTGAGTCATCACTGAACTTAATATCTTCTGGTTCATTCCTGAATTCTAGTTTTGGAAACCTTTTTTCTGGATAAAGGTTCTTTAAAAGTTCTTCAAAATAGCTTTCAAGTTTTATACCAGCATTGGCTACTTCCGAATCAGGCTGTGGGATAAAATAAAGATAGGAATTAAAAGCCAAAAGACCAACAAATTTACTCAATAAAAATAACCTCTCACAGTTCTGTTCCTTTCTGGCATACAGCTAGTGGGGGCGACATAAAGTCTGAGAAGGCCAGCTGATAAGTAAGACTTTGTATTGAATCATTTGAAAAAGAGGTGGTGATGACAGGGACAGATCACATCAGCAAGATGACAAGATCATCATGGACAGGGATCTCAAGAATGAAAAAAATGTGGTACAACAGACGAACAAGCAGAACCAACAGAAAGACACAGTTCCAAGGGTCTTAGAAGATTGGTAAACGGGAACTTTTGGTACATTCTTATTATTTCAAGATAAGCACAGAAATCAAAGTCTAAAAGTACACAGTTTGCAAAATAAAAGGAAGGAATGGTAAACCTTATATGCACTCTAAACTATCTTGGTATGAGGTGTCTTGCATTGGGACTTAGTACATGATAAAACTGCAAATCAAGTGTGTCTTAAGTCTTCCTAGTAACTTCCTTCATACCCTGGCAAAGCTGAGGCCCAGACACTGGGGGCACCTCACTGTTGGAGCTGTCTGGGGAAAGATTACTCTTCACACGCTGTCGCCTCTCCCCATCTCACCTCATTGAATTCAGCACAGTTCTGAAAGATCAATCTGAAATCAGCTACAAAATCTTCAGGCTTTGTATACATGCAATAATCCTCCTGAAGTCTTTTCTTGATGGTTGACAAGTCCATTGGGTTTTTAATTATTTTATAATAATCAGGCACCTTATAAAACAAATGAATTATTATAATATAAATAAGTAAATTGCACCTGGTCCTATAACACATGCTACTTTTCTTCACATTATTTTGTCACTTGTGAAAAACAAAATCAACAAGCCAATCTGTTCATCAACATTTTCAAGTACCTACTGTATTTCACACACAGGTTTTGTGGCTCTTTCTCTAAAAACACAACACTTCATATTGGTGTATATTCACTGTACACAGTGTTGGGTATATGTATATAATGTATCATGACCATATCCCCCTCTTCCCTTTAGCCCACATTCCCCCTCTCCTATCCCCAGTCTCCCCTCCTAAATGCCCAGATCCCATCAGCTTTATGTCATAGATGCGTATGGAATACCAGAAGACCCATAATTGAGAGAAAATATGCAACATCTTCTGCATTTCGTTTCATAGGATTATCTCTATTTGTATCTATTTTCTAGAAAATGACATAATTTAATTCTTTATAGCTGACTAAAAATTCATTATGTAAACACACAGTATTTTTTAAATCCATTCACCTGCTGATAGACAGCTAGGCTTAGTCTATCAGCTATTGTGAACAGTGCTATAATAAATGTGAATGTGCAAGCATCTCTGTTGTAGTGTCCTCTGAACATATAAATCAGAAGAGATGAAGTAAGTATAAATGGGCAATAGACATTAAGAAAAAAATGTTTAATAACCTTAGCTATCAGGAAAGTAAAAACTGAAATTACATTGAGATTCTACCCCAGTCAGAACGGTTACCGTTAATGAACACACACACACACACACACACACACACACACACACACACACACACACACACACACGGGGTCGGCGGGGGGAATGCTGATGGATATGGGAAAAGCGAACCCTTCTACACTGCTGGTGGGGATATCAATCGATTCATTATGGACATCAGTATGGAGCTGCTCAGAAAACTAAAATCAGAAGTACCCTATGACCTAATTAGCAATGAGTTTTAATGGAAAATGCCGTCATGTGTTTCCTTTTAAATCTCCTATATGCTCCCTCTTCATTATTAAATACAAAGTAATTATTAAAATGTGCATAGTGGGGCATGCCTTTAATCCCAGCACTTGGGAGGCAAAGGCAGGCAGATCTATGAGTTGGAGGCTAGCCTGATTTATACAGCAAATTCCAGGTTAGCCAGGGGTA